TTTATTAATCCTCATACCACAAAAAAAAAAAAAAAAAAAAAAAAAAAAAGAGCCAAATAACTGCTAAATAACTGCTGAAGAAGAAAACCTAGGCTTGAGTATTTCCAAAATCATGCAGAGACGAAAAACAATGGTTTATACGAGAAAGTGAGAAAGTGAGTACGTGTAATTAACAGCAGTAATGATAAACTGGGTAAGGGAGGAAAAAAAACCTCCAACCACGCAAATTCAGGAGTTTCCTTCTATTTCATCAGCTTCAGGTAATGGAATATTAAAGCAAGGATAACACCAACTCTTCTCGTTGTAAAATGAAGACAGGTCTAATATGTTATAGGTTTTGTTTTGCAAAAAGGAAAATGTTTCTGCATTCGTTGGAATGAATAGCATCATTCAAGGATTTTATTGAGGTAGTTTAAGTAATAAGAATTTCAATGTGGTCTGGCTTAGCTATTTCTGTTATATTAATAACTTTATATAAAACCATAGCCGGCAGAAACTAAAGATAATTTGTGAATACTTTATATGATACTTAAAATACTTTTTTCCTGTTTATGCTATATTTATTGTCATATTAGTAGAATCTAAGTTTTAATATATTGTAATTTTATTAGTTTAATTCGGTATCATTAGCACAACTTCTCATTACATTATTTGGGTTTTGGGGTATAGTATATATAAGGTATAAACATCCAGAAATATGTTGACAAATATCACTGTTGGCCTGTTTTCACTCTGTTTAACAAAACTTGCAAAACCCCATAGAAACCATAGTCTTGGTGACGTACTCTGCTCCAAATAGCTATATGGCAAATAATATGTGTCGTCATTGGCATTACAGAGGGAAGAAGGCTTGGAATGATGCCATCCTGACATGCAAATCGCGCACAAGTCGTGATGGATGTGGCAGTCACAACCGTGGGGAGGTATCCACCCTGTACAGATGCTAACAATTTTCGGTAAAGCTTTGGGAGAATATGGCCAGATAAAGGTCCGGCCAAGGAATTGCAAGGGCTGTCGGTACATCTGCAGCAGTGAAAGTTTCGAGGGGGTCCGGATCCATATACTCCGACCCCAGACACTCGGACACTGATGTGGCAAAGAGGGGCAGCTGCCGCTCATTGGCTCCCTGTGCCCCAGAGTGCCGGGCACCACCGGCTGTTCAGCAGCAATGTGCAGCAATGTTCTTCAGGGGCCTGCTGCTTTCCTGGGAGGCTGGCGGCCAGCAGAGCCCACCTTCCTCAAGAAGACTCTTCCCCATGCTCTCTGTCCCCTCCAGCACCGCACCCCCCCCCACCCCCCGCCGGCCTCCGCTTGCAGAGGTCTCTTAAGTTTACCATCGGTCTCAGTAGAATAGTACTGTTAAAAACGACAAGTAGGGGCGGTGCGGAGGGCGATGCATGGCGTGGAGAGGACCATACCCACCCGAGCCCCGGCAGCCTCGGCGTGGGACTCGAGCCTCCGACGCCCCTCTCCCTCTCTTGGCCCAATCTCGAGTACCCCTGACCTAAGCCCCGACTCCTCGCCCTGCCTGGCAGGGATCCTCAAGGAAAGCCGCCTCGAAAGGCGTTTCCATCGCTGCCGATGCCTGTCTGTCTTGGGGGTGGGGGGGGGGGAACGGGGGGGGGGAGCAGGAAATACCGGGGCAAACGGGAGGAGTGAGCCGCGCAGCAGTCCGGTGTGGGCCAGCCTTCGTGGCCGCCCTCCTCTCTCCAAAAGCAACCTGCGCCTCCTTCCCCCCGTGGCCTCTTCCTTTCTTCCCGCCCGCCCGAGAGGGACTAGTCTGGAGTAGCCTCTCCTGATGTCCCTGCGAATGATGGTGCTCGGTGGGCGGCTGCGGAACGGGGGCCGCGCGGTGAGTACCGGAATGGGGAGCCCCGGGTGAGGGACGCGCGGCGAGCTCGGAGCAGTCCGGTCGTGCCGTGTCAGCACGAGGCGGGAAAAGTGTGTCCGGGATTGAGCGCGAGTCGGGGAAACCCTCCTGTTCCCCGTCCCCTCTCAGATCTTCATGTCTCTGCCTTCCGAAATGACGCGCGACGGGAAAAGCTGGGGTCCGGGGCTGAACGGAAAGAGGGGGGCTATCCAGGAAGGCATCCCTTCCGGGCGGGGGGATTCCCTGCGCCGCAGCCCTTTTCTCCTTAACATCCTCCTGCCCCCTAATTTCTTGCCGTCAGTAATAAATCTTATTCGCGTGAAGGGAAGCTATTGGATTTCAAACCTGATCAGCTGATGTGGGCCCGTGGGCCCATGGGCCTCTTTAAACACATGAGCTGGAGTCCGTAGTGTATCTACACCGCACTGACTGTGCCCTGAGTATCGCCCTGCACAGGCATGGGAGGTTAGGGAGCGGAGACAGGCCGTCAAGTGTCCCTCGGGATGAAATAAAAATCAATGGTGTTGGAACGAGGTGGTGGGCGCATTCCAGTGATTGTTCGGGGCGTGCCGGTCTGTACCGGAAAAGGATGGGGCGCAGCCTGCGCCAGGGGATAAGGTACAGGTTTGTGTACAAGTCTGTCTTCCTCCGTTCAGCGTCCTCTTGGGGGCGAAAAAGGGGATCTGATGTCCTGTAAAGGTGGAGGGAGGTGTAGTGACAGCCCTGCATCTCGCTTTGAAACCGTGTTCTCCCGCCAGACCTCCACAGGTCCCACAACGTGGCAACAGAACAGCAGTCTAGCATCACCTTAGCTCTGTTTCTAGATTCCTCTGTTACTACTGAAAAGATAGAGAAGAAAACAGGAGAGCAAGTGGGCTATCATGGCAAGGGGCACTACGTCTCTGTCCTGATGTGTCCCGGGTGTGGGATGGGCTGCCCGATAAGCTCTCCTCCCGATGCTCGATTCGGGGATGCGCTGGGAGAGCTCCGAAACGTTTTGTCAACAGGCGTATAAGCATTCAAACTGCGAGGTTTTAATGAGGATGCTGGTGTCCCGGCTAGGGGGATTGGTGCTCTGGCAGCATTGGAATCGGCGCCAGCAGCACTGTCCGTCTGTCCGCCCATTCGTCTGCAAGGCGCGGCACGGTGGGGAGACGGTGCCGCTAGTAAGGGAGAGGGACAAGGATGGTGACATGTTGCACAGGGAAAAATTAGTGAGAACCGTCCTTTTGGTGTCAAAACAATCATCGCAGTTTGAGGTGCTACCAGAACAGAAGGACAACACCCTTCCCAGAAGGACAAACGGACAAAGGCCATCACCAGGTCTTCTTTCCTAGAACCTTTGCAGCTCGTCGCTTCTGTCATTGCTTTTAATGTTTATTTTTCCACCGCCCGGAGTGAAAGCGGCGCTCAGATAATCTGCTCGGTCCTTTGGCTGAGATGCCTATGCTAAGCAAAACAACTCGAAATTGTTCTCCTATTGGCGGGCGGAGAAATTTACACTCGGGTTTTACTATGTGGTAGATGTAGCCGAGCTTTGTGTATTTCCCTCTGTGTGCATCGCTGGTACCCATCGGCACATGCAGCACGGCAGCTGAAACGCGAAGGGAAGATATGTCATGCGTGATTTTGCAACTGCATTTAGCAGCGACGCTGCTTTTAAATTTAAATATTTTATGGACATAAGCCCAAAGTGCCCACTGGGAACAAGAGGGAAAAAAAAAAAAAAAAAAAAAAACAAAAAAAAAAACCACCCCAAACCAAAAACAACCACCAACCAAACCCAAACAACTAGAAAGAACTAACCTACACACACACAACACATCCTGTTCTTGTATTTTTTTCTGAAATCATTTCCTGGAGGTGCAGAAGAAACTTCCTATGAGAGACAGACGGGTTACCCTTCTGTTTGTCCACAGCCTGTTAAGATACGAGAAAACCACTAATACCTTAGAGAAGATGTAAAGAGTCAATCATAAAAACACATCGTCTTGGAGAAAGTTCGGCTAATGAACTACCAAAATAGAAAAGAAACCCAAAAAAAAAGATAAAAACCTGAAAAAGAAGGGGCCGTTAATCCAATCCAACACGACCTCTAACTTCCCGGGAGTACGTCTTTTTCCTGACAGCCTACTGCGTTTAGAGCTGCTCCCCGCCATTCCCTCGCTGAAGAATTGCTTTTCCGTAACATCAAACCTTCGTTTTCATTACTTTTATTAAAAAGAGGAAAGGAGAATAGAGGGAAGATAAAAGCCTACTACAATCAGCTAACAAGAGCTTCCGAGTAAAAGGTCTTTCCACGCAACACCGGTACAAATTCAATAAAGAACGGAGGGCCATTCTGCAGGGACGAATACTAAAGTATTGTTCTTCCCTGAGATATTGCAGCTCCCTCCCCGCGCCCCCTGCGTTTCACAAGCCCAACTTATCTTCAAACAGGCACCCACAGACCGACACCGTGTTTTGATCACAGCAAACAACATGCGAAGCGCGTTGTAGGGAGGGGAAGGAGGCGACAATTACCGCACCTCATTCCTTCTCGGGACGAAGAGTAGAGACGGGGCAGAGAGCCGAGAACGCTGCCTGTCATCCGAGAGATGTTCTACCTGTGGAGCATGCTTCCTCCCGCTAGGTATCTCCCTATAGTTTGGGGGTTTTTACTACCACTTTAATTTTTTTCAAATTATTCTTTTTAAAATTTTGCCAGAAAAGAGTCCATACACGGCGGCCAGAGGTGCCAGTAGGACAGCACTGGAAGGGAACGTCCTGGACAGTATCAGTCTGGTATCAGCAGGACAGCACTGGGGACGGATGGCAGGATCCGCGTTCGGTGCGGGTCCTGCCCACGAATGGGCACCGGGAGGTGGCGCTGTTCCACCGCCGCCGCGGAGGATGAGGGGCGCGCGTCGGGACTGACCCCACGAGGAACTAAACGTCTTCTCGCCTCCTTCCCGCCTTTTTTCCCTCTCAGAAGTGGAGTCCGGCCTGCCAGGCATTGAACACTGGGCGGGGAGGGAGAGGTAAACATGAACTACCTGCAGACTGGATTCAAAATGAAATCAAAATATAACCATGAAATGAGGCCATGAAACGAAAGAAAGAAAGAAAGAAAGAAAGAAAGAAAGAAAGAAAGAAAGAAAGAAAGAAAGAAAGAAAGAAAGAAAGAAAGAAAGAAAGAAAGACCCCATAAAACCAGCAAAAATTTTAAAATAAAAAATCAATTCATTCTGCTTCTAGGGACCACATTAGCGGGAAACAGAGAGATAACAGTGCATTCCAAACCTTGCCTTTCCGATGAGTTATTTTACACCTAGGTACCAAATGAATGCTCAAACAAACAGAAATGACATCAAGGAAATTTGGTTCACTCTTCAGCAGCCTGCGCCGCAAGTCAAAACCGTGCCTAGCACGGAGTCGGCTGCTCTGGCCAGTCATCCCGGGCTGGAGCTGAAGTTGGCATTCTGCATGCTTGCCAAAATACACCTAATAAAGAATTTGCTATACTTCAACCTCTGAAAACCTTAACATTTAGTGATCACATGAATTCTGGATGAAAGAAACACAGGTTCTGTGTTCCCCTCTTCTGCTGCTCCTCTTGATTTTCTGCCTTTGTACCTCTAATAAGGAGACACGTTCTTAATCGCACAAAACTGGTCATTGGCTTTTTATTATTATTTCCAGAGGAGGTACATAGTGAGGGTGTATATGCACTGGAAGCTTGTGTGTAAAAAATTATATTTTGTGTGTGTGTGTGCGTATGCACAGATAAAACTCTTAAGTTCTGGGGTTTTTTCTCTTATGGGAAAAAATTGTCATGCCATCTTCAATTATTTCACCAAATATTATCTGTTTGATGTTTGACGTTTTTTCATTTCAATATTTGTCTTGCAGGGGAAACAAAAAAGTAAGAACAAAACGAAAAGTAACGAGAAAAGAAAAAGAAAGAAGAAAATGAGAAAATACTTCTACTATACTCACAGTAGCTGCACCTTCACTTTTCTAAAAAATAATGTTTATGTGTAGAACAATATGCAGTTCGGATTATTTACATATAGTATAAGAAGACAGGGATGAAGAGAAGTGGGAGAAAATTTAAGTGTAAAATGCTGAATACTGGGTTTAGAGAAGGATAGGTATTAAAAACATTGGTGGGGAGGAAAAAAAAAAAAGGACTATAGGGAAAAATGAATGAGAATATGGAGAAAAGGATTTATTTCAGGCATTTATTATTTACAACCCAGCAATCTGTCTCATGCAGCGGCGACCGCAAATCAGAGCACTATTAGAGCTGCTATGTATTCATTTGTTTATCTATCCTTGGACGGGAATCCAAAAAATCGCCAACTTCGGCATTTTAGTCAGCTTGGCTGATTCGTGCAGATGCGCAGCGGAACATAGGCACCACTGGTTTTAGCGGTAAATCCGATATTAGGCTGGTATTGGACAATGTGTAGGCGGGGTGACTGAGGAGAGGCGGGGACTGTATTTGTTGCTCCTACTCCACCCGCCATGTTTAAGTGTCAAGCGTCTGGAATCTGAGGGACAGGCAGCTCTCCCCATGCTGCCCGTGGCCCCGGCAGAGGCGCAGGCAGGGCAAGGAAGGGGTGCGCTGCCACCCGTCCAGCCCCAGAGCTGATACAAAAGAGACCGCAGTGATTCGCGGGGCCGCCGTGCAATAAAGCGGGGCGAGGAGGGGAAAGGAGGGGGAGGGAAGCTACGAGGCGGACCCCCGGCATCCTGGCGGGCGTTGGTCCGGGGGCGGAGGCGGCGGCTACCCCGTCCCGTCGGGGCTGCAGCGGGGCGCGGGGTGCGGGGGACGATGCGGGTTGCGCTGCAGCGACAGAAAGATGGACGGACCCACGCTCACTTTTGCCTCCCCGCACATGCTAATGCGGCTCCGCAAGGAAGCGACAGCTGCACGTGCGCACACGTGTGCTCATTAAAAGGATGTGGGCAGGGGATGGGTTGCGCCGCGGGCCGGGAATCCCCGGCATCCGCTACTGGTAAAAATGTGTAGAAATGGTGCTTTCATAATGGATTGCTGCTATATATGGTAAGGTAAGAGCTAATCTGATGGATGAACGTGTCGATTTCCGTTTTGGGAGAGTATTATTTTTTATACGTTTTACGTGTGGGCACACGACAGCTTTTACTGGATGACATGTCAGCGTAGGGCTTGTAAAACTGGAGCGAGAAGTAGCGCAGGAAATAATGTTAGAAACGACAAAGAATTAAAGAGAGCACAGAGTAAGAGACGCTCCAAATTTTATTTTAAAAAATGCATACATAACAGTCTTTGGAGAGGGCTAACTTTTGCCTGGTATGTTCATTCAGGTAAGTCATTTATAACCTAGGCATGCATTTGAGCTTTCGAAAAAGAAAAAAAAAATACTATGCATGGCCTTTTTTTTTTAGTGGAGTAACGTTGTTCTTTTAAAAACAACATTCCTGGACTATAAAAACAGAGCAATCTTCTGGTTTTGCTATTTAAACTTTATTTTCATTACGCATTCGGTTAAATTGAAATATGCTACCTGTGATTGTCATATAATTCAAGGCCTAGGGATGTTCAGATAAAACAAGTGTAAGGCTACAAGCAGTATTTTTAAAAAAATCAAAATGCTCTTTCTATGAAGAATTAGGTACTGGATTCAAATATGCACATGTTAGAAACCGTATGTCTTACATTTAATAATTCAGGACCTAAAACAGAAATTACAAAATGTGTTCCTCAGAGTAAGCTCTCCGTACCCGTCTCTGCATATTTTAAGGAAGAATTTTGAAGTAAGCTATTGCTGAAATAAAGGCAGATACTAGTGCACTTAGAAGCCGTAAAACAGCATTAAAATCTTTTAAATCCATTTACATTTCCCCCACTACACCCCTTATCTATATTGCCTTATACCTTAAAATTGGGCAGAAAAGGAGGGGTGTGTTGGTGATTTCTCAACCTTGGTTTTGTTAATATGAAATTACTTAGATGATCAACTTCCAGTCTCCCGCTAGCGGTGAGGAGGATAGTAAGACCCTCAAGTCTTTTTAATGTCCAATAAATGTCTTGTGCACTTCGATTTGTAAGACTAGCACTGTTCATAATCTGTACTTTTATACAGAATAGAAGCATGGAGGAAACTGGATATAAAGTCGCACTGCAGAGTCTCACCAAAACACAGGAAAATAGGAGGGGAGTGGAGGAAAAAACAAGTATATTTAAATTAATAGAAAGGAAGGAGCAAAGGACAAGTGATAGTCTGCAATTTTCAGTAAATTAAAAACAATGCGAATATACCTTACATACGCATCAGTATTAAAAGTAACACACGCTGGAGCCAACAGAAGCAGGAAGAGGAGAAGAGAATGGCGCAACGGTGAATTCCGGCTCACACACCGCGGCCGCCCGAGCCCATACGGGCTCTTCTACGCGCCGTAGCCCGGCCCCTATCGGTCATTTCGGGGATGTTTGTTTTGTTGATAATGATGATGATATTTGGAAGAAAAGGGGAGGCTCCGCTAATTCCCACTAATTAGGATCTTCGCAATTAGGGACGATCGCTCCCAGAATCCGCGGACTCTTCTCCAGACAGAGTGATTTGCATATTCTTCTTCTTCTTTTTTTTTTTTTTTTAATGCCCGACTTTCGTTCATGTAAGTGTAGACGGATGTGCAGAATACCTTCAGCTGATGTCAGCAGACACGACCTCTCCGCTAAGCCTTGAACGTGAAGCGGGGATGGTGGGATTCGGGGCGAGGGCGCAGCCGCGGAGATGCTCCGCGCTATTCCGCGGGTTCGCAGGCTCCCGCCCGCCCTCTACCTCATGAAATAAGCTCTAGCAGCAGGAGCAGTACTGCCCAGCCCAGCGCTTGACCCAAAAAGAAAGCCGACCTCACCGCAGCATTGCAGAGTCCGTCCAGCCTTCTCTATCTTTTTTCTTTCAATTTTTCAAATTTTTTGTTTGATAGATAGATAGATAGATAAAAGTAATAGTAGTAGTGGTATTTGGACGTTATTTGCTGTTTCTTTTCATCAGGAGACGAAATATAAACTTCCAAGCAGTTTTAAAAGATAATAAGAAAATTCCCACCTCCCTATACAAAGCGTTGAGCACAGAGGAACGTTGAGCTGGTGAGGGCGCAGCATTCATCCGGACGCTGCTCTGTAGTGCATCGCAGGTACTAGGCTCGGAGAGAGGAAGCGGGGGAAGGTAGGCTGGCGGCCGGAGGAGTGGGGTATCCCTCATCTCGGGTCGCAACAGCTACCAGTCTGATCTGCAAGTCCAAGGCGCTCTCACGGCTTTGCAGTGATGCTTTCTCACTGCACCGGGAGGAGACGGGGTGTAAGTGGGGATTCGGTGAACTACAGATACCGTACTGGTGGGGAGTAGGTTAGAGCATTCTGTCGTCCTCTTTCCCTTCCCCCACTGCTTTTGGAGACTGCGGTGTGTCGTGATGTTTGGGAGAACTTTCACTTCCCGGGGAACTTCAGACGGCGAGGCCGCCAGAGTGAGATGTAACCGGCGTCTTAGAAACGGGTCGTGTTCTCTGTTAGGACCAGAGTTTCTCTCCCTTTCTGCTGGCGTTATTTACGCTTTTTTAGACTTCTAAAAGCTGTTCCAGAGCATCTCTGTGGACCTCGACACAGCCGTTCCTAGGGCTGCACACCGCACATTCACGCACTGCTTCCCCCTTCAAGCATATCAGCTAAACTTAAATGCACTCTCCAGGAAGTGGAAACATGAGTGTGTTTCTGACCGGGGGACCGGTGTCGACTCTTACATTCTTTTTTTCGTGCAGCCAGGCACTCGTGCTGAATTCCCTCGGTTCGCTCGGGGATCCTCACAGAGCTCTCTTTGTCCGCCGGCTCTCCGAAGACTGTGCCGGCAGGGAATGCCCGTCTGCCCGGGGTTGCTGCGGGGCTCTCCTCTTGGAAACATTCCGCGGAAGTCCGTGGCTGGTAACTGCAGAGCGTCTTCCCTCTCCCTGGAGCCAAGGGCCGGGAGGGGGGGACAGACGGGCGCTGTTATGATATCTATAAATATTTATATATTTATAGATATCATAACATTAAAAATATAAATAAAATAAAAATATAAATATTATATATAAATATTTTTATATATTAAAATATAATAAATATATAAATATTTATATGGATGGATGCATACATACGCACACACATGCATATGCACACGTGTCTGTGTAGGGGCGTCTGTAGGGTGTATATATGTGTGTGTATGTATGTATTTAGTAATTTTTTAACGTCGCCCCTCCTTCCGCCAGCCCCCACCCCTCGCAGCCCCCTCCCCTCCGAGGGGCGCCGTGTATATCCGACCCAGAGTGAGTGGCCAACACGACATCGGCCCCCCTCAGTCACACCCCACACGCCCCCAGAGAGGGGTAGAGCAGGGACGAGCCATCCTGCCATTCCCTCGCCCTGCATACCTCCCTCTATACCTCTATTCCTCCTCCATCTCTCCCTCCACCCCTCCCTCACTGCACACCTCCCGTTCTGGCAATAACCCAAAATTCTTCACGTCGGCCCCCGCACCCTAAAACCTAGGTGGGGCTTTTACTGGTGTTTTCATGCTGTTCTCAGCCTCGGAGAGATGGATGAGAGGGGGCAGAAGGAAATGGCAGCGCTTTAGGACATGCTTCTCCCAGTGACGAGAGGTCACGCTACAAGTTCGCCTGACAACAGGAATCGGAAGAGTGGTTTTTTGCTAACACCATGGGTTTTCCTGATTTTTTTTTTTTTTGTTTGTTTTTTTCTTGTTTGGTTGGTTGGTTTTGTTTTGTTTTGGGGTTGGTTTTTTTGGGGGGGGCGGTTTTTTACCTGCTGTTGACCGGCTGCTTGGTTTTGACAAAAGTTGCATAAAATATCAGTGCCTCCCAGAAAGAAGACTCAGATGAAACCGTTATTCAGAAGTTAACTGGAGGAAAACACCTTAGGAAGCTCGACCTTTTGGGGTTTTTTTGGTGGTTTTTTTGGGGTTTTTTTTGTTTTGTTTTGTTTGGTTTTTTTTGGTTTTTTTTTTTTGGGGGGGTTTTTTTGGTTTTTTTTTTTTGGGGGGGTTTTTTTGGTTTTTTTTTTTTGGGGGGGTTTTTTTGGTTTTTTTTTTTTGGGGGGGTTTTTTTGGTTTTTTTTTTGTTTCCAAAGAAATGCGAGCTTCCCTTCTTCTCTAGGAAAAAAAGAAAAAAGTACTCATTGCTCTTCTCTGCACTAGACATTTCTAATTTGTTCTGTCTGTCAGTATGGGACTATGAGAGGTTTTGGTGCAAATTCATTATCTCTGGCAATGCATAAGGTATAATAGGAACTGAAAAAGACCGCGGCAATGGATGAAGAACAATAGGGCTCCAGTTCATGAACAACAAAAGCGTTGGGGAAATTAGTTGAATTTCGGAGCACGTCCTCCTCAGCAGAGAGGCTGGACTAGACCTTGGCCAACCCCCCAAAAACCTTGCAGAACCTCACATACAATAGTTCTCTTTCTATTCCGGGACGTAGGAAACACTGTGGAGAAAGGAAAAAAAAAAGCTAAACCCAAGCCAACTTTCTCCATTTCTCTCCCGTTTTCATGGATGGAAGATTTTAAACTATTTTAGATTCATTAGAGCAAGGATTTAAGGGACACTTTTAAATAGGGATGGAGAGGGGAAGCACTTAAATTTCTGGAGATCTGAAAGAGCTTTTTCTGCTCCTAGGGGCCTTGGCCTTGGGAATCTTTGTATGCCACCAGAGGCTCAACTCAACCCCTACATGTGGGGTAAAATCATTCCCTGATAAAGGCGAAGATATGTAAGTACTGCAGTGTTTGTGTACGTGTGTGTGTCCTGAGTTTCCTGCAAAATTTGGATGCTGAACCCCCAACAGATGCAGATTTCCCGAGTGCCTGTGAGCCGGCGATGAGACTGGCTCTCCCTGGACAGCCAGAGCAGGTTGCTCGGCATAGATCTGCCTTCTCTCACTCTCGGCAAGGGACATTTGATTAACAAGGCAGGTTTATGACTAGATGCAGCAGCTTACGCCAGTGAGCCGATTTTGTGTGTCTGATGCTAAACCTGTTGGTCGTGGGGGCTGTATTTAGTTGCGGGAAATGTTAATTATCTAGCAGACTGCCAGTGGATGCTGAGCAGCTGTGGCTTCTCAGGGAGTTTTTTTGCGGTGCCTGGTTGCCCTCAGAAGATGTGCAGGCACAAGAGCAAACACTCACAGAGTTGAAAAGTAGCAGTTAACAAACCACACGAACAAACAAACAAAAACCCCACAAAGTCGAGGGGGTGAGCGGGTGGGGAATGGGAAGGAGATGTGCAGGAGGAAAAGAAAAAACAAGGGGAGAGGAAAGAAGATAAGTCGGAGGCATATCTTGCAGCTGGTCAGGGTGCAAAGGATTGCCCGCAGCAGTTAGTCCATCCGCTGCCTCCCACGCAGTGGGTCACTCGGAGCAAGCGACCATGACTTCTCGGGTTTTCCAAAATCCATCCCTGCCAACATGGCTCCGCTTAGCACAGGAATGCACCTGGCAAGGGAGTGTCGGGGACAGGACAGTTTCAATGGAGTTGCAGGAGGGCCAGTGAAGAGCAGCCCGGCTGCTCATCTTGGTCCGGGGGTGCCCCTCTGCATCCCCCTATCCTTTCCACCAAAACAATGTCATCCTTCAACAACCACGGTCCACTCGTGTCTATTGAACGGGTGAAACTGCCTCATCGCAACATCTAAGAACAGCGTTGCTGCCTGGGAAATAACAACAGCACCAGCAACAACAGCAGCAGCAGCAACAACAACAACAGCAACAATAACAATAACAATAACAATAACAATAACAATAACAATAACAATAACAACAACAATAATTTTTTAGCTGAGGCTGTTGTGATCGATATAATGCAATAAAAACCAGCAACTTACATTACATTTATTTACCCCCGCAGCCCTTGATAACCTTGCAGAGCTGTAAATAGAGACTATGCCTTCCTAGTAATTCTGGTTTCAGGACATAATCAGTCATGTGGGAAATCTGGCAGGAAAAGGCTGGTATAATATATTTTGCACGTTTTGAGCTGAAGGCTAGGTGAAGCCTCCAACCTTCATTAAGTAACTGGCAGTTTATAGTACAAAAATTCCATATCTGCCTCTACAGTTTCCATCCCAGATCTGCCTCTATAGTTTTCACCCCTTCTGTTGAGAGCCCCAAATAATATTTTTAGCCTTTTATTTTTAAGTGTAATTCTCCAGAAATAATAATGCAGTTAAAAATACACATATTATATTATTCGTAATATTTATGGTAAATTGATTACCATCTTTAACCCTGCAGATACAGGAGTATATCACTCATATCTTTTTTGTGTCATCTTAAATCATCTGCAGGAAATGTGGCTAGTTTTTTCCACCTTTACTCTAGGGTCAAGCATTTCAGTGATTTATCTAATAATCCCAAAAGTTAATATACTCAGCACCTTCTAATCACATAGATTTATCCATTCAAATATCTTTCTGGAACAAGATGTTTAAATTATGATCCTTTGCTTTTTAGGGAGCTATTTTTCAAGTCTAAACAACTCAGACCACAGGTAGTTACAGCTGCAATGGTAATTTTTGTTTGTTTGTTTGTTTGTTTAATAAAAGTCAGACAATATTGTATGCATTACTAACAGAATACATGTCCTTTAATGGCACATGGTTTCCACGTGTAATCACCTACTGTTTGTTTTTGTGACTTTAAATTCTTGATACTCTGTCTTTTCTTATATCTGAATTTGGATTTGTAGTAGATACCCTTTTGCATACACTATGTTTAATATAAGAGAAGTATAACTTTCAGTTGCCTGTAAAATGAAATTGTGGTCACAAATGAAATGATAAGCCACCTTCATTTGAAGGTGAGGCAGTTGAGTGACTTACCTGGAGAGGAGAAAAGGGATGCTGCTCTGCAGAGAAAAATGGCTTGGACCATACTGGCATGCCGCATTGTTTACCTCTACAGGAATTTTGTCATAAATTAGTGCAAAAAGGGAATTTATGTAACACTACACCCTTCTTATGTACATCACAGCAGTTTAAGTGGGGTTCCTGTGTGTCCTCCCAAAGAACGTGGGGTTGCTGGAGATAGGATGGGGGTCTGATTGAATAATTAGAGAATCATAAGCATTCCTCTTTAAAGTCAATAGAGACGGTTTACTCTTAAGAAATCCATACAGGATATTTCTTCTTTACATCACAGCCATCTGGAGACCTATAAAAATATTAGAAAACAAGCATAGCCATCTACAAGCCATTAGCAGGAACTTGCTAGGGAGCGAGAAGGAAAAAGTCAGTGTTTTGTATTCCATAATTTCCAATAGGCAGGTATTTCTACAGTGATTTTGGAATAAGTAAGTTTTATACAATTATGTAAACTGGAAGAGAGTGGGCAGTGTTAACAGCTGCTTTTGACAATCCAGGTGATATTTTGGGCAGAATTTTCACAACGTGCTTTGCTTAAACTTTTGACATGCTAGGCAACAGGCCAGTTTTAGAAAAGTGCTTTACAACTGCTGAATATATTTTTGTATTCAGAATAAGCAAATAGTTAAATTCATGATGATGTTGAGGCTCTTGGTGTTGCAGAGCTAGAAAATGTAATTGATAATAAGGCTAATGAACAGCTGGGTCATAACCACCACATTGCCTCTTTTGATGTGCTTAGGCTCCAATGATTAATCAACAAAATATGTCAGGTGTATTGCAGTTACTTCCCAAGCTAGTGTGTGAGGCTGTGAAAGCTTGGTGTTTTAGAAATATGCTTTGTCTCTTTGAAAAAAATGCCAATTTACAATAACATACCTTGCATTTAAATCTGGTGGTGTGACAGCTGGTGACATGCATGCATTTAACATGTAAGTATGCATCTGTGTTAATATGGCACATATGTACTTAGGCACACATTTTATTTGTCAGCTTAGAAGAGTAGCAGCATGAATTTTAACCTGGTATTCCTTTAGGAGTTCTGAACAGCCTATAGTCTGTGATAAATTTTTTGATGTGTATCTTATACTAAACACAGCACACAAGAGTTGTTGAAGTGCATTTATTAATTTCAACAGTAAACAGTACATTACAGTAAGAAGGTTCATTTTATCAAAAAACTCAAGAGACCTTTAATGTTTGCACTTGAGAAATTTCTACGAAAATTATTTTGTTAAATAATTCAAAGTACAATGTTCTTTTAGCAGGTGGCTGAAAGGGGGAGGAGGAGAAGCTGAGAGACTTAAATTCTAAAACTCTACATAATGCATCAAAACTTTTCTCTGTCGGTTCCATGAGTAACACCAGCATGCAGTTCTTTTCTCTTAGTATGAGGTCAATAAAAATAAAAATAAACCAGCGTTTTTATTAAGGTGCCTCGTCAGATGCATGGTGCATGGTCTTAGTAAATATTGCTGCAATGTTCACCTGTGTTGCATTCTAACACAGACACAAAAACACGCACAGGCTGGGAGGGAGTGGCGGGTGGAAAGAAGGGCAGAGAGAGGTTATAGAAGCTACAGAATATGCTGAGCCTGCTGCTCGCAGCTTCCCACACAGACAGGCCTCGCACCACCGTCCCGTTGTAAATACCTGAATCACGATGAGTGTGAAGCACGAGAGAGATGAGTAAAAACAAATTAAAATGCACACCCCTTCTCTCCCTAAAGCAACTAACCAACCGACCCAAAAAAAAAAAATCCTCCATAGACACACAAAGACAGGACAAATTGTCAGCGTAATTACACATCGACTCATTGCGTAGCACAGCCCCCCTCCTGACTTTCAAGCGCAAGGCCCGCTCCCCGCCGCGGCATCCTTCCTCACCAGCGGGGGCTGCCCTAAGAGAAGAGCAGCAGCGCTCACTGGCGTCGGACAGCCTACTTCCCGTCGCCGGGAAGAGTCCTCTCTCCCGGCCTGTGGATGTTAGAGCGGCCTGTGCTGCAGAGGAGCACGGTAACGGCGGCGGGCGGATCCCCCGCACCAGGGCGGAGGAGGCGGCGATGGTGGAGGCGAGACCGGACTCGGTCCCGGCGCCGGCCGCTGGTGGCTCATGCATATTAATAGCCGTGTGTACTCGAGGTTTCTCAGGACATCATAATTAGCTTAGTCTCCCGCGGCCCAGGATCTCTGACCTTGCCGAGCTGGCCCGCATTTTGGCCCTGAAAGTCCTCCAATGACGGCCCTTTTCTCCTTCTTTCAGACCGGGGGCAGCAACATCCGGCAAGACTGCTGTCTTCTTCTCCCCAGCTTTAGGAGCTCCGAAAAAGAGCAAATCTCCCCCCTCTAAAACACACAAGGAGGCAAGATATTTGCAATCAAGCTGCCACCATTTGGCAAAGAGCACAATCTAAGGGGATCAGGAGCCGCATCCTCGAATCATCTTGTTACTTCTTACTGAACTGGATTTTCCCCACATTCTTGTTCCTTCTTATACTCTGCTGGAAATTGCCGAAGGCTTTTCATCTTTATAGAGGCTAAGGAATCTTTCGTGAAAACGAAGCTATTTACAATGCAAATAGAGGCCTGCAAAGGAACGGATGCTCCTCTCTCTTAACGCAGCTTGAAGCAACTTAATAGCTGGTTTTATTTTCTGGTATTAACAGATGAATTGTTGGCTATTCCTGCCGGAAATGACTGGCTGAAACAAGAAGTTCGGAATAAACTTGGAAGGCAAGGGGCTGTTTTGTAGCTGCACATGTATGTATACAGAAATACTTACATAAAAGGATGACATTTTAAAGCAGCACTAGTGCTCATGGTGGAAACAATACTTTTGCCAGAAAGAATCTGAATTGTAGAAGGATGAAAAAAAAAAGTTCTGAGGGAAGTGAGTTGTTATCTTTGGTTATCTAGCTGTATGAGTGTTTTGTTCTTCATAAAGCTAGATAACCGAAAGTAAAAACTCCTTCAAGATCATCGTACAGTGTGTGAAAATTAAAGACTGCTGCAAGAGACAGTAAAAATCGAAAAGGGTCAGGAAAGCTTATTGAATCTAATATTTTTACAGCTAAAGGTGAGACTAAATGGAGAAAGTTAAATGGCATACTTATTCCAAAATATGAAGTTGTCGCATGGCACAGAATGGATATTCACCCACTGCAGAGAGAACATGGTACTGATGGTAAAAAATGTATGTGCAACTATTCCTGTTGAATAAATAAACAAAGAGAAACCCAGAACAGTCAGCATTAAACCGGACTAAGATGATATATATAATTTTTTTTCTATTAGAAACCTAATGGTGAGTTTCATTTTGCAATGTGATTCATTGCAATTAAGTGGCCTTAATTAAGTGGTAGTTGGTGGTGATGAAGATGGTGGCGCTGATGATACAGACCTGACTAATGAACTGAGGAAAAAAAACCTATACAACAACAACAACAAAAAGCAACAAACCAAAACCTGTCTGTGTGCATTTGAGAAAAAGCATTGAGGTTAATTTCAAATCATGTGAAAGCAGGCTTTCAGAAAAAGTTTACACCGAAGTGCAGGCAAGCTTAATAATTTATACATACTTAGAACTCGGCGGAGTTGCACAAAGAAAAAAAAAAGTAATGGCCGATTTTTATTCCTCTGTTCAAAACGCGAGCATAAATGCTTCTCTGTTTCGAGAGGGTTTCCTTGAGGAAGCTACTGAAGCAGAAAGACATGATGGAGACGAGATCGCCCTCTCCCCGTCAAAGTGTGAAAAAATGTTCTACACCTTGCTCTGCACCTAGCATTGGAAATGAAAATGACATTTACTCCAAAACCCACGTGTGCGCCTCCTGTCTTTTTGTTTAAGAATGATCAGGTCTATCCTGGAAACAGCTCTGGCATCCCATACCGAAATAATTAGTTCGTATACAGACCTGACAAAAACACGGAGAGGAAGGTGGGCAGGGGGAGTGGAGGAGGTGGAGAAGCGGAGGGTCTGTCTTGCCTAATTGATTCCGTTAAACGACGTGCAGGAGATGTGAACGGCTGGGTGCTCCCATTCCCACGCTCGAGGCAAATGGCAGCGCCGTGCCCCGGCGATCGATGACAGAGAGCCCGGCGGGGGCCGGGGCCCCCACCGCCGGCACCCGCAAGAGCATTTCCCACCAACTGCCATCCCAGAAATGCTGGACGAAGGGACGGGGCTGCAGAACACGCCGGCTTCCCCTGCGCCGCACCCCGCCTTGCACACCGAGGGAGAAGGGTGGAAGTTGCGCTCGGGTGGAACTTGCGCCCTTCTCCAGCGAAGGTCGCGGCGGTACGCGGATTTTGGTCCCAATGGAGGAAGGAAAAGTCAGGGCAGGCGTGTCGGGATGCAAACAGTCCTGTGTTTTTTAACAAACATTATCTTTATAATTACGGCGGCTTAGGTACCTCTCGCAGTGAAATTGAGGGGAATTAATTGCTCAGAGTAACATATTTTCTTTGGACTTGACCTAAACGTTTGTCCAGAGGCATGCTGGAATGTGATACCGAGCTAGTAACCGAACGTTCTCCACGGCAGATTAAAATAAGATCAACGATAAGAGAATGTGGGTCAGCGGTCTCCATCCGTCTGGGGCAAAACCTTTGCGCGCCGCTTTTTATAATTATTTGATTTTATTTTGTATTTTCGCTTTGCTGTTGAACTGCTTATAAAAAATTTGGGGCTTATAATGGGAATATTTACCTTCACGCCACACACTGCACTGTGAGAAGGACGGAACAAAGAGCCAGTCAGCGTGTTCTGGAAGCAGCAGGAGTACTCTGTAGCTAAATCAAAGAATTTTGCCTACAAATTTATCGTCTCTGTAGCTGTTAAAATAACCTTAGTTTCGGCCGGAGGGTCCTCACGCTGGCAGCCGGCAATGCTGGCCGGGACCCCGGCTAGGATCTTTTGAGGTTAAACCTCTGTTTTGTCTGCGCTGCGTGTGCTCAAAGTTTTACTGCTGCAGCGCCCGGCGAGGGGATCCGTGTTTATTTACATCGGAACCGTGTTTGAGCCACCAGGCTTTCACCGCAGAGTGCCCGCCTCTCATTTAACTGCTTGTCTCGGGGTGCTATTTACCTAGAGTCATTGTCTGCTACAATTAACGTTTGCATGACAAAGTGCGCGGTCTTGTTTCTTGACGAGCTTCAATTAAGGCGATAAGCTGTTTTCTGGGGAAACCCCTTGTTTACTTAGGCATGAATGGGGTTAATTTATTTAAGCTATTGTTTACGTCTTGGTCTTGTAAACTTGTGAAAGAAAACACCAGAGAAAAACAGCAGCATTATAATCGCGCTTTTGCTATTGTCATATTAAATTGTCTTGTACCATAATAATGTTACGTGATTATCAATCAATAAAATATTATTGGCTATTATTACTGCTCTGGCTCCACTTCTTTAGGAACAGAGACCCGTTTCTCGGCACCTTTTCTTCTACACAGTCTGACTTGGGGAAAAAGAGCATGTGGAAATGTGGTAGCAGGCCCTCAATTTTATGCTTTAACAGGCTCATGCAGCAAGTAACTAGGAAAGGTAATCCTTCCCTAGGATTGTCTGCCTGTTACCTGCTGTTCCCTCAAAGCTTGTGTGGAAAAAAGTCACTCTGTCAAACAAAGAAAAAGCTTTATGTTACAGGAAGTGAAACCAAACCCAAACCCCAAAAAGTTGAACTATAAGTGGGCATTTCTCTCCAAGACAGTTCTAGCACTGGAGGAGACCATCAAGTTTATTTAGCATACCAGTGCAGTGTAAAACAGTTGGAAGGTAGTTGCAGGTTGTGTGAATATGCATGTTAACTAGCAGGAATTGGGGCTTATTCTTTGTGAAAAGAGAATAGCAGATTGCTGTGCAAGGCCAGTATTAAAAAGGCAGCTGAATTTAACACCATCTGGAAGAAAACATCCCTTGACCACTTTCTCACACCATCAGACAAAACTGGTGTCTCTTGTTCTGTATCCTTGTCTATGCAACCACACAATACTGAGTCATTATACTTTTGCTGAGAGAAAATTTGAGAACACAATATGGGTAACTGGTGAATGACCAAGTTTCATTATACCCGCTTAAGTCGATTGAAATCTGCGTCTAGAACTATGAATGGCAGCATTGTTTTCCTCAACGGGGCTGCACTAAATGTCAGCATAGTGTAAAGAAAAACTTGGAAGTCTGCAAATAACTTACCAGATCTCAACTATAATATTTTCCCACACTAGAACTAATATCATTGCTACTGCCTGCAATGCATGAAATACAACGAAAGAAGGTCAAGGAAAAAAAAATGAGTTCATTTACAAGTTATTTCAGCCAGACAAGCACTTTAATTTTCTTAAAATTACTTCAGCACATAGAGCTGGATAATAATTTCCTGAGAATGTCAGGAAACCAAACTGCTTCTTATGATATTTAAAAAAATAAATTGTGCAAACTGACTTATATTCAGCAACTATTTTAACCCTCCAGCTTAGGAGTGATAAAATATTAGTAGATATACTTTACAGTACTCAGATAACTTTTTATGAGTCTAGCAGATGATTTCTTCTTTAATGTTCAGCAGAAATGACAAGTAAAGCAATGAGAAATATATTTATTCAGGTGCTGGAGGAAATCCACCAGGGCATCTCAGTGTTTACACGGGTACCAGAAGGACAGTTTTCAGTTCTCTCAATTTTTAACTACTGCTTTTTTGCCCTCACTTTATAATGAGGGTATAGATGAGAATATTTAAAACTACTGCTTTTTTACCCTCACTTTCTATTTTGAGTACTGTTCAGGTCAGTCCTCT